GCAATAAATGCAAGCAGATTTGTATCTCTTAGGCTTTTAGAGGGGTTTATTTGTATTCCCCTTCCCTTTTAATCTGTTCTAAACTGTGGAAGAAAGTAACTAAATATATTTACTCAAGTACTGTATTTAAGTACAATTTTAAGGTATCTGTACTTTCATTTTGTGTTACTTTGTACTTTGACTTCACTACACTTTCTTTCAGCCAAATTCTAATCACTTCTTTGGGTTCGTCCCCACCAATGTCTGTGCCAAGTATGCTGATGATCCATCCAGCTGTTTGCCCATTATCCTGCTAACCAATGAACACACACAGGACCAACGACATAATATAAAGGTAACTATTCTCAAAGCACCAATTTGGTATCAGGGTGATAAAAACCTTATTAAAGAAATTGTTAACCATTTTATGAAATATGTTTATATGTTTTTTTTTTCAAGAGAATTTTCAAAGAAGCAACAAAGTCACTGGAATCTTTCAATAAGAGATTGGTTTACTTGCAGCAAGGAGACAAGGCAGCATAAGCATACAGAGTTGTCTGAATGAGCTTAGTCTAAACATCACAATATATAGGACAACTCCCTGAAGACGCATCCCAGGCGTTAATCAGGTTGTAAAAAAAAAGATTTGCAGAGGGAAAGTTAACTTGAAAGGGTTTTGCCCCGATGATCCCTAAGACACTGCACAATCTGTTGTCTGTTTATCTCCACAGTGTATGGCCAGAACGGTTTATGGCTGGCTCCTTTAAGTCTGGGATGCCATCTGGTTGAACATATAACAACACACAAAGTACTAAAACAGAGATAGAACATGTCCTTTAGTTCACACAAGCAGTGTCTCACAGGTCCCTGTGATCTGTAGTCTGTTCTGAAAGGTTAAAATCCATTGAATAACATACACTGGTTAATATATTGATTAGAACAAAGTTTAAAACATACTTAATAATGTAATTTTCATGACAGTTTTCTTGCCAAGAGTTAAATAATGAGACTGACTTTCATACAGTATCTGTCCATTAAACATGAAGCTGGAGGCAGTTAGCTTAGTTTTGTATAAACATGGAAATGAGCAAACAGCCAGATCAGCTTTGTTCAAGAAACAGTACATCTGAGCTAAACCACAACTTATTTTTACACTTCAGTTGCTGTACGGGTGAAACAACACATTCCAACATATTAACTAGACAGCTCTCAGAGTGCAGCCTCTGCCAAGGGCAACTCAGTTTTCCCATAATGCCACAAAAGCAATATTCACATGATAGTTTGACCCTCATAATACAATTGTTTGACCAAAAGAAAAAACCAACTGCTCACATTTGGAATGATGGTGATACCATTATTAGTTTGATAGTTATTTAAGAAAAACGATAGACATGACACTCATTGAAGCACTGGGCAGCTTCAAGGGGGCTCACATACATTCAGCAGCCTTTTCAGCACTCACAATGGTGAATAATCTTTTAAAAATACCTGTATCCAAATGTTGAAATGAATTGGTACCAAATTGAATCACTTGTTTGGTGGGCCATACTCTACCTCTCCAAAACATTTCATTAATATCTGTTCATTACTTTATGACTTATGCTGTTAACAAACCAACAAATGCCAGCAAAAGCATAGACCCCATCTTTGGTGAAGGTAAATAGTGAGCATTTTAGTTTTGGTACTCGGTAGCTGCAGATAAACCCAAGATGAGGTACTGGAATTGAGTTGAGGGAAGGTGTTGGATTGGTGCAATGCTACTTTATGTTTTTAACCCACCATCTGAAACATGAAGATCAAAGTTCCACAAACACGCACTGCTTTGTTGAAGCGCAGTTCAAGATACTGTGAAGAGAACAGGAGAACTGTAGATTATGAAGGATGATTTAAATCCAACAACTAGAAGTTTTCAGCATGCCGGGTAAGCACTGGAGAGCCGCAGTCTGTACAACACTGGAATGAAAATATGAGCCGGAAGGAGGAGGCCCAGGATGTAAGCACAGCCGAAGAACCAGTACTGAGTACCATGAGTGTAGATTTCTGCCGGTATGCCTATGATTGCCACAGCGGACTGGAATGAGGCAATAAGTGACAGGGAAACGGGAAGATAGTGCATGCTCCTGTCTGCCATCAGGAACTCCTGTGTAGTGCGCTGACGCCCACCAGAGAGAGCATAGTACAGGCCGATGACCATAGAGGCCGCGAGCAAGAAGGCAAATATCACATAGTCTAGAACTGCAAAGTGCTTCTGGTTGGACGGGTCCATTGTAGCTGTCTCCTGGTTGCAGACAGAAATGGTTTCTTTCTCCTGCAGTCACACAAACAAATAGATGTGAAACATCTCCGTCCACACCCATCAGTAAGATGAAAGCTGACTTGAGGAAATGATTAAATATGTTAGTGTGAGAAACACCTGTTGTAATGTGCTTCAATATTTATAGCAACCAGTTTTTAACCAAACAACTGACTGCAACTGATTATTACTGTCATTATCAATTTATCTCCCAATTATTTTTTTGATTAACTGATTAACCCCTTTGGAAGCTGCAAATTGTTTAGCTGATTGACAGAAAATCAATTGTAATTAGTAATAACAATTTTTTGAAATAAAAATGCCATGATTTGCTGGTTCCAGCTTGTTAAATGTGATCTTGTTGCTTTTCTTACTCTTATATTCTGTTTACTAACATATTTTTAGTTTTTGGACTGTTGGTTGGACACAGTAAGACTTGAGCTTTGGGAAATTCTTACATAAAAATGTTACTGTTACAACCCTGATATTGCTAACAGGTAAAAATAGTAATTTCTTAACAGAAGGACAGCTGGGTTACCACAAGTTTTGAGGGCCCACAGCATGTTTTTCCTTGTTTTTTGACTTATCTACAATGTTACAATGGTGAATTATCAACTTAAAGCTCAAAAAATGAGGTGTACTTATGTTCTACTACTTCTATACAGAAGTAACTTGTTTATACAAGTCTCACAAAATCTTGCTCGTGAGACATTTTTTCTAACAATATAAAGTATTATGTGATAGTCACAGTCTCCAGGCAGTTGCCGTTCATCATGCCGTCTGCTTCCAACACAACACTGACAGCAGGAGTTGTGCATGTTCGCGAACTATCCTCTCGTTTTTAGGAAGACGCTCTCTGGTTTTATCATTCTGAAATAATTACAGACTATTTGGAGTTATGAGGGGTGTAAAGTTAATCTAGAGGTACCCAAGATTAAACATTAAATGGCTGGAAATGAGCAACATTAGCATGTCATGGGGACTTTAGGTTTCACACAATGAAAGACCACTCAGTTACACAATCACTGAGATAGTTTAACAAGATGGCTCAAAGTTCAAAACCATCAATCATCCAATGAAAATGGCTAAGAGCCATTAATACAAAAGCACTGTTCGCACAGAAAAGCAGCAGGCCGACCAAGCTCTTTACTCACAAAGAACAGAGCTGATGCTAACAATTACAGTAGCATAGCACTACAATCAAAACTCTAAAGCTAGCTGAAAGCACAACAAAGCATGAAAACACAATTATCAGTGAATCAATATCAAAGAGGAAACAAACAAATCTCAAAACAGGAGCAGACCTGTGGGACTACTCACAGCCCACAACTCAAGAGATGT